CTCCAGTTCCTCCCTTCTTCTTCCTCCCCTTTCCCTTCCAGTCCCTCTTTTCCAGGAACCTTGCCACACCTGCACCTGCGCCCTCCCCTCCGTGGCCCTCCCACAGCTGCTGCAGCACGCCCGCCCGTGCTCTGTGCTTGCCTCACCAGCTCTCTGCTCACTTTTCTCTCTCCTGTTTTCTCTCTACTTCTCTCCAACTGCCAGCTGATCAGGTCAGGCAAGTTCATCCGGACCAGAGAGCCCCAGCCCCACTTCGACCTTTAAACAGATCCTCCTCTTCTCAGAGGCCTCCCTTTCCAAGCCTGCCTGGGAGAGTGTCCTGTGACTTGACAGTGGCTCCCCAGCCCAAAGCCAGCCCCTTTCATCTGTGACTTAGTCTGTTGTAGTGCTGAGCTGACACATCCAGGTGTGACATTGCTGAAACCTTGTGCCCCTTCTGTGGCACGCCCTGCCCTGTTCTATAAATATCTATAAATACTCATATATATATATACGCGCGCGCACACACACACACACACACCCCCCTACACATGGCCGACTGCCTCACCTGTAGCGCTGGGAATCTGTCACCGTGCTGTCCTTGTGGAGTCTTGTGGCCCAACAAGAGGAAGCTGTCCCCTGACATTGCCTCTCAAAAGTGCGCCACCTCCAGTGAGCCTCCCTGTCATGCCCGGCCTGTGGACAGCCAGCCCCCACCATCCCTCCCACCCCCCAACAGGCATGGGGGCGCTGTGCAGGCAGCTGTCTGGACTGACAGTCTCTACCAGTCCTGCTGTCCCTCAGCTGAGAATCAAACTCATTTCTGGATGACGGGGAATGTGTCCTCTGCTGGCTGTGTCCTCTGTGGAGCTCAGGGGAGGGAAAAGGCCAAGCCATTTCTAGGGTGCTGTTGGGAGCAGTGTAAAGGCCACACCCTTTCCAAGGGACACTTTTCCTGGAAAGCCCCTGGAGCTTAGGTGAAGCCAGCTCTGGCCACTGAGAGCAGAGCCATGAACTCAGCCTGGAGGAGTCTGCGGGGCAGCAGGCACTCTGGAGGGACAGACGGAACAGGTCACCAGGTGCACTGGAGGGACAGACAGAACAGGCCACCAGGTGCAGACAGGCAAGGGAGGCAGCAGGGGCACAGAATGGAAGAAGCCTGGGGTGGATGGAAGTCGGTGCCCTTGGGTGCTGGTGTCTGTCTTCCCGGCCACCGCTAGATGAGGCTTCTGAGCCTGTTGGCTGTCAGGGCTGGACTGTGCCCCATAGGAGCCATGGCAGTCCCCGTGAAATCCACCAGGATCACCAGGCAGCATACAGGTAACAGGCCTGGAAGGTCCCCAACAGCCCAGCAGGACATGCTCAGATACTCGGGGGCTCCTGGTTCAGTGGCACGAACTTCAGGACCCAGTGAGGGAAACAGGAACACACCAGGCTGAGCAGTATGGATACATCTATTTATTCTAAACTGAAAAGCAAAATAAACAGTTGCATCAGCAGGGAGCCACAACCTCATCCCCATCTCCTTCCCCTGTCCTATGCTATCAATAAGTTTCCCAACCGCAAATAATGATTAGAACCTCCTCCCCATATGCCAGTTCCAACCTCCACTATGTACGATACAGGGGGTGGCTCTACCCCCCGGAATATACAAAATGTTACACAGATACTATATGTACACTGGGGAAGGGGGGCCACCCCAGCAGCCCGTGCCCTCACCTGCTCTCCAGTTGGCCCCACTGTCCCACCTCAGCTGCCTCTCTGAATAAGAAGATGGGAGCCCCCCGAGGGAAAAGTTGCTTTGGTGAGAGTAGGGAGGCCATCAGGCCTCCTCCAAACAAACCAGCTCCACCAGCCTCTGGTTCTTCAATAACAATCGTCATCATCCAGAAATTTAAGGACTCAGCGGTGGTCAAGGTGGCAAAGGGTCTGTCTCCCCCTATTAGACAGAGGTCTTGTCTTGCTACCCTAATGGTAAAGGGGTGACTGGGAAGCGGTGGTAGGGACATGGTGGGGGCGGAGACTCCAGTCCCACTTCTCCAGGCTTATGCTGACAGGGGCCTGCTTTTGTTTATTTTTATTTTTATCCCATGACTTATTTTTTAATCCCATAACTTCTTTTTCATAATACTTCTTTTAACTTTTCACAAAACTTTATTCCACTTTTCTTCCACAACATTTTTGCCACAATTTTTCCACAGCTGATCTACATATTCACATTTTCTAAATATCAGCTTTGGTTTTGGAACTGATTTTTTTTTTTTTCATTTCTGGAAAACCTATCAGGTTTAATCAAATACTTTAAAAATGATTAGATATTGCAATCTTTAAATAGGTATTTTCTTTACTTCCTACAGAAATTCAAATTTATTCAGTTGAACTCACACTTTAAAGTTCTATGTTTCTGATAAACTCTAACCTTCTAATGTTGTCTTCTCAGCCAATTGAAAGCTGCCTTATACTGAATGAGGAAAAGAACTTGGCTGAATGAGGTATTGCAAAAGACTGCGTGCACTTTGAAGAAAAACTTAAGTTATTATAATACAATTTCTATTCTTTTTAGCTTTTTTTAAAAAAAATTACAAAATACCTACACAAAGAGTGGTATTTCAGTTAATACAGTACATTTCTTTTCCAGACTGACATTGAGCTTCAACATGCCAGTGTGTGATTTCATCCATAGGTACCTGACGAACACATTATTGTCAGATTGGTTACAGATGCTAAACACTATCTGAAGGTCATTCCTAGTCATTTATGTTTATCAGGGTAAAAGTGAAGTGACTTGAACTATAAAAATACCTTTGAAATAATTTATCAATGTATTAGGTAAACCCAGTTTCAGAATTATAAAGAAAAACTGTGAGACCAAACAAGGGAGCTAGTTAACAGTGGTGTGATTTCTAGCCCAAGGCTCTAAAACAGACAATTTGGAAGAGTCAGTTGAAGTCACAAGGACTAAATATTTGCACCCTTTCAGTGAATACAGGCAAACCTATTATTCCATCTGTAAAATCGTATTATTGCTCTCCTACTAATGTCATATGTATAAAAGTACCATGAGGATGCCAAATGCTAAAAATGGAGATGGTCTAGTAACTAGAAATGCCCACCCCAGGGAGCGCACATACATCTCTCCCTACATCCTAATAAAGTGATGTATTTTGGAACACAGACATTAGAACTTCATGAAGTTGTAGCTGTTGATTCTTTCCCAAGCATCGTAAAGTTATGATTTAGGCAATGTATGACTGAAAGAATTCATTCATCATGTACAGACACATTAACAAAAATATGGCACAAAATATGCCTCTAACTGAAACCGAGAGGTATAAAAACATATTTCACTCTTCGTAAAGAACTTTGTGAGGAAACATAACTCTGTGATTGTATAGACACTTTTCCTCATAATACTTTGACCTTCACAAACAGTAGACTGCACTGCAGTTCGTAAACATTTTAAATTCCATAAACTTCACCTTGATTTTCAAATGTAGTATAATACTGTCCACTAAAACTGCTTTTTGTTTCAACTAAGTACTCTCACATATATTGGTTTATAATAATGGTCGTTATTATTTTTAAAGTGTTTTTCATTCAAAGAAAAGAAGCAGGCCGGGCGCGGTGGCTCAAGCCTGTAATCCCAGCACTTTGGGAGGCCGAGACGGGCAGATCACGAGGTCAGGAGATCGAGACCACCTGGCTAACCCGGTGAAACCCCGTCTCTACAAAAAAAAATACAAAAATCTAGCCGGGCGAGGTGGTGGGCGCCTGTAGTCCCAGCTACTCGGGAGGCTGAGGCAGGAGAATGGCGTAAACCCGGGAGGCGGAGCTTGCAGTGAGCTGAGAGCCGGCCTCTGCACTCCAGCCTGGGCAACAGAGCGAGACTCCGTCTCAAAGAAAAGAAGCAAATTCCTGTGTCAGATTAACCAATGTGGCTGAAGAATAGGTATTAGCCAGAGAGGTCTAGATGGTAAAATCAATCTTCTAGCCTCAAAGAAGCTCCGTGAACACAGAGGAATGCCAGGTGTCACACAGCTTTCCTTCACTCGAATTCATTCTTGACTAGAGCCTGTATGCCTGTTTCAGGGACATTTAAACTCTGAAAGGATTTCTTATGATCTTCACTAAATACATTAAGAAGAATGCCAAGCAGTGCCCTTTTGTGTACTGGGCCATGTAGTCATGTGATTAAAACAGGTAACATGAACTCAGACTTTAAAATGTATTGTGAATATGAAGGCTCTAAGCTAGAAAAGGTTTTCCACATCCACAGTGAATGACGGGAGCCTTTCATTCCTCAGAAATAATCCCTTTTAGGTCATTGAGAAAGAGTCCAACTTAAGGGAACTACCATAGTACGGCGCTCATTCCTGGTACCAGAACAAATGAATCACACTCAATCCTGCACACACCTGCCACAGCAGGCCACTTTCCTCTTCTGTGAGATTTAAAAAGCTCCCCAAAATATTATTACTCCCATCCCCAAGACACAGAAAATAGGGGAAAGGCTGTTTCCAGTTCTCGGCCTTTAAACAACTCTAAATGTCAGTACTCACAGGGGCATATTACAAAGTAAGAAACAGTGCGCACTTGAGGGCAAACCACATATTGAGCTAATGAAGAGCTCACTGCGATTAGGATTCGATCAAACATAATAGCAGAACACAAGCGAATTTTATCTGAATTCTGTAATGAATATACATGCTGCAATAACATTAAAAAAAGCATGGCAGCCTATTCCAAACCAGCAAGAATAGTTTTGTGCAAATAGTGGGTCTTTGTGTGTTTGAACTCCCACCACCTGAGGGCAAACTTGATATGCACGCTAAAGACCTACAATTATCAAAGTAAAAAGAAAAATGCTAAAGGATGCCAGAGTGAATATCAGACAAAGATCCTTCTCCCTTAACTTTTTATAAATAAATGTAAACTGTAAATTAGAAACACAAATAAACATGAAGGGCTGTGACATTCAAATGAAGTAAATGAATTGTGTAGGGGATTAACCCCATAACTGTTTGTTGTTGTTGTTGTTTTCAATTTCTTGACCAGCTCTCAGATGATGATGATGTTTATCTCCCTGTTCTCAGCTGCCCGGTAAAAGAAAGGGACGCAGGGTTTGCTGGCCAAGCCTGGGTGCTCCTGGGTGTCCTGCATTACAGGAAGCAGCTGCACGATCTTCTCTGCGGTGGGGTTGCCACGGGGAGAACCCTCCCTGGCCTCTCCCGCTGCAGGCTCCACGCTGTCGGCCAGGCTCACCTCACAAAGATCTTCGGAGAGAGGGAGGCGGGGTCTGAGCACAGTGCGAGCCTCCCCTGCTCCTGCCTGCCCACCCCGCCTGAGGGCTCTACTCACCACCCTGCTCCTCCGCAGCCCCAAGCTCCTGGGGGGCTGGGGCCCCTGGAGCGGGCTCCTCAGCAGAGTTCTGTGCAGTGGGGAGGAATTTGTCATGCCCCTCGTCGTTGCCCGTGGGTGGTAACACCGGCTCCTGCAGTTCCAGCAGCTTCACCTGCAGGGAGGGGTGCTCAGGTGCCATGACTGAGCTGGAACCAGTGCCAATGCCTACCCCCACCCCCATAGAGGTATTGCATGCCCTCTACCTTCATCTCCTCCTCCTTCTGGGCCAGCTTGATGATGTCCTCTGGGTGCCGTGTGTTTGGCACTGCCCCATGGCTCTCATATATGGTGATGTAGTCTCCTGCGAGAGGACAGGGCTCAGACACTGGGGCCCCTCCAATGGCCCCGCAGCTCCCCATGCCGTGCCCTGGCCTCCTGCTTACTCATGCCCTCTGTTGCTCCAGAGAGCTGGATGAATCCAAGCTCTAGTCTTTCCACCTGCTCCTTCCTGTCTGCCTTCTCGTTTGGGAGGTCCATAAAGCTGCTCTGGAGCCAAAATAATGGGGTCACA